GGGGGGGGGGGGGGGGGGGGGGGGGGGGGGGGGGGGGGAGGGGGAGAGTTTGCCATGCAGTTGTTACTGCTAATTGCTTACGAGCTGAAAAAAAAAATCTCATGAATCGAGGAAGAAATCCTGAAAAGAAAAAAGAAAAGTGTAAATATGGGAACCTCTAGAGGTCCCCGTATTTTGTGTAACCCTGTGGCTCTTAAACCACCAGTACTAGGCCCAGCTATTGATGCCGAGCCGCCCGACCCCCTGCGCGCCAAGTTTCGCCGAACTGCCGGCGCACCATTTCAACTTTTTTTTGGGTGGTGCTTCCAGCCATTGTGATCCGGTACCCCGACGCCCGACAGGTGCGGCACGTTAACGGGGAAGCGCCGCGGCCGATAGCTGGCCCGCGTACTGGTGGTTTAAGGCCGCTGATATTTCCGCACCCCAAAACGAAAAAATGCAAACTGCGGACCCTGTCTGACCCCAAAATCCACCCAAATTTTGCTATTTTATGATTATACGTGGTAGTGTGAGTATGCCCTCGGTTTGGTCAAAATCGAGCGAGAGGGCCTTGCTGTACTCCACTCTTGGTATCGCTCTCAATTTGCAAAATCAGAAGTGTCAGAAAGGGTGCAGCGAGAGCACTCACGAAAAAATGAAAGTGATCCCTTCGGGAATGATACAGATTAACATGGCCCCTGTGCAGTAAAGAAAAAAAAAAAAAGAGTCTGAAAGGTGATGGGAGGCGGGCCACACTCTCGAGAGAAATGAGACTTGGCCTCCAGTTGGGATGGGCAGGTGCAGTGTGTTGTTTTCTTTCCACTTTTCTTCTTCTAATTCTTCTTCTTCTCCTCCTTTTTCTTTTTTTTTTTTCGTTTTTTTTTGGGGGGGAAATCTCTGGTTGGGGGCAACACTTAAGGGAGTGGTAAGAGTATCTTCCCTCAAGTGGTCCTCGTGGTGAAGGCTCCATCTATTGGTGCGGAGCAGCACCTGCTGGAAATCGGGTCCAGGTTCGTGCAAATCTGATACAGCAGTTGAGAGTCCAGAGTACAAAACAGTGGAGTGAGGTGGCTGTTTCTCTCCACGCACTCTCGAGCTTTGTACGGACCCAGAGTGATGAAGCGAAGCCCATCTCTTGAGATGTTGAAAAACGTCTATATATATAAGTTATATATAAGTTGTCCACCAGGTACAGGATGAATGGCCAAGTCATTCTAAACATTAGTCCATCTGGCCTTGTTTATAGAGGGGGGACAGTGGGTGGGTCACACATACACACACAATCAAATAACCTTTGACTTCTTTTTCTCTTGAAACAACGGTGGATGCAACATGTTTTGAAACCCTAACGGCAATAAAAACTTGCGCCAACTCGAAATGAGCAATTTCGGTCCAAAAGTATCCGTTGGGCATTAATTTTTCCTTTTTTTTTTTGTTTCCCCCTCTGACACCATGGCTTCTTATGTTTCTCTTGCTTGTCTTGCCAGGTTGTCTTGCTCGCTTACTGCTCATAGTGTTCCCCTGTTACCTATCTTGCCTTGCTGGCTTGTGATCTTTTTTTTTTTTTTTTTTTTTTKTTTTGTGGAAAAAGGCTCCATCTGCCTTGCTACCTTGTTGCTTGCCTTGTTGAAATGTTGCCTTCCTATCTTGTTGTGTTATTTCCTTGCTACTCATTATGTTGCCCTTGCTTGCTTTGCTTGCTTTGCTTGCTTTGCTTGCCTTGCCTTGCCTGGCCTTGCCTTGCTAGCTTCTAAGTTCTTACCTTGCCACTCACTGTGCTACATTGCAACTGATCTTGCCCTGTTGCCTTGCCGCTCGTCGTGTTTCCATTGCTTGCCTTCTTGCCCACTTGCCTCTTTCTTGCCCTCTAACCTGTGCTTTGTTGGCACTAATCATTCGACACCATTTTGCCTTGCCCTTCCCATGTTGTGAATGATGTCACAGGTCCTTCCCATGTTGTGAATGATGTCATAGGTCATCCGTTCACTTGCAATAGGGGTTGAGGGATATTATGACTCAAACTTCTCAAAGCATCAACATAAAGATTTTATAGATAACCCACAGCAAGCAGCGAGACTAGGACCTCTGCTCCTTGAACCCTTTGTGGCCCTACATGCGTAAACTCTGGAGGAAACGAGGGTCGCAACAGAACAACCCCCGAACAAATGGTAAGATAACGGGATACAATCGTTGTTTGGTAACCCCTATATCCTTGACAAAGACGGCAACCCCTTTAGTCTCAAAAACGACCCCCCATGGCTCACGTGGGCAAAAAGAGGAGTATATACGGTAGGAGACCTGTGGGACCCGTCGACAAACCACTGGGCAACAAATTAACACCTGCAACTAAGGCGTAAGCACGCGAAGAATGCGGGGGAGAAGATGCGTAAACCATCGGTACTGCCTAAAGTCGTGCCCATTAACGAGCCGCGGCTTTAGGAAACGTATGAGCTACTACAGGGGTGCCCAAATTCATCCGACTAGAAATGTTTCTACTCTGTTGTTTTCCGCGGCCATAGCTGGGCCAAGTACTGGTGTCTTAAGCTGAAGGAAACCCTCCCTTTGGCATGGCTGCTCACCCTTCAAACTGGACCCATCATCTGCCCAAATGACTGGGTTAGTAAATATGCAGACCTACCTCATCCACTTACTAAATATAGAGTCCTCACAAAATTGACTGGAGCTTTTGTTCAAAAAAAAAAAAAA